CCCATATTTTTGCAATACTTTAAAAATTAAATTTTTAAAGTTGAAAAATAGAGGAAATTTGATTTTTCCTTTTAAAATCTTTTTCCCATATTTTTGCAATACTTTAAAAATCAAATTTTTAAAATTGAAAATTAGAGGAGAATTGATTTTTCCTTTCAAAATCTTTTTCCCATATTTTTGCAATACTTTAAAAATTAAATTTTTAAAGTTGAAAAATAGAGGAAATTTGATTTTTCCTTTTAAAATCTTTTTCCCATATTTTTGCAATACTTTAAAAATTAAATTTTTAAAGTTGAAAAATAGAGGAAAATTGATTTTTTCTTTCAAAATCTTTTTCCCATATTTTTGCAATACTTTAAAAATCAAATTTTTAAAGTTGAAAAATACAGGAAAATTGATTTTTTCTTTCAAAATCTTTTTCCCATATTTTTGCAATACTTTAAAAATCAAATTTTTAAAGTTGAAAAATAGAGGAAAATTGATTTTTTCTTTCAAAATCTTTTTCCCATATTTTTGCAATACTTTAAATCAAATTTTTAAAGTTGAAAAATAGAGGAAAATTGATTTTTTCTTTCAAAATCTTTTTCCCATATTTTTGCAATACTTTAAATCAAATTTTTAAAGTTGAAAAATAGAGGAAAATTGATTTTTTCTTTCAAAATCTTTTTCCCATATTTTTGCAATACTTTAAAAAACAAAGTTTTAAAGTTTAAAAAATAAGGAAAATTGATTTTTTCACTACCAATCTTTTTCCTCTTTATTTTTGCAATACTTTAAAAATCAAATTTTTAAAGTTGAAAAATAGAGAAAAATTGATTTTTTCTTTCAAAATCTTTTTCACATATTTTTGCAATACTTTAAAAATCAAATTTTTAAAATTGAAAATTAGAGAAGAATTGATTTTTCCTTTCAAAATCTTTTTCCCATATTTTTGCAATACTTTAAAAATTAAATTTTTAAAGTTGAAAAATAGAGGAAATTTGATTTTTCCTTTTAAAATCTTTTTCCCATATTTTTGCAATACTTTAAAAATTAAATTTTTAAAGTTGAAAAATAGAGGAAAATTGATTTTTTCTTTCAAAATCTTTTTCCCATATTTTTGCAATACTTTAAAAATCAAATTTTTAAAGTTGAAAAATAGAGGAAAATTGATTTTTTCTTTCAAAATCTTTTTCCCATATTTTTGCAATACTTTAAAAATCAAATTTTCAAAGTTGAAAAATAGAGGAAAATTGATTTTTTCTTTCAAAATCTTTTTCCCATATTTTTGCAATACTTTAAAACTCAAATTTTCAAAGTTGAAAAATAGAGGAAAATTGATTTTTTCTTTCAAAATCTTTTTCCCATATTTTTGCAATACTTTAAAAATCAAATTTTTAAAGTTGAAAAATAGAGGAAAATTGATTTTTTCTTTCAAAATCTTTTTCCCATATTTTTGCAATACTTTAAATCAAATTTTTAAAGTTGAAAAATAGAGGAAAATTGATTTTTTCTTTCAAAATCTTTTTCCCATATTTTTGCAATACTTTAAAAAACAAAGTTTTAAAGTTTAAAAAATAAGGAAAATTGATTTTTTCACTACCAATCTTTTTCCTCTTTATTTTTGCAATACTTTAAAAATCAAATTTTTAAAGTTGAAAAATAGAGAAAAATTGATTTTTTCTTTCAAAATCTTTTTCCCATATTTTTGCAATACTTTAAAAATCAAATTTTCAAAGTTGAAAAATAGAGGAAAATTGATTTTTTCTTTCAAAATCTTATTCCCATATTTTTGCAATACTTCAAAAATCAGATTTTTAAAGCTAAAAGAACGAGAAAAATTGATTAATTTTGTTCGTATATTTTTGCCAGGTTTTAGCAATACTTTAAAAATCTAATTTTTAAAGATGAAAAAATGAGAAAAATAAATTTTTTCTTTCTTAATCTTTTTCCCATTGTTTTGCAATGATTTTCAGAAAAAAAATGAGAAAAATAAGAAGTAAGTTAGAAAAAATTGACTTTATTTTATTCCCATATTTTTGCAATACTTTGGCAAGATTTTAGCAATGTTATATGATATTAAAAAAAAGTATGGGAAAGGCTCATAAGCAATGGTTTGTGAGCTTTTTGCAATTCTTTGAAGTATGGGATAAAACTTAAAAACAATGGCGAAAATCTTCTCCCATCTTTTGCCAGCTTTTGATAGCTTTTTCCCATAGTTCGTTTTTCACGCGGGAAGTTTAATGTTAAATTATAAATTGAAAAAGATAATAAAAATAGATATACATTAATAAGAGACAATCATATAGATGCACCAAGACCGAGTTGCGCGAGGGGTAGAGGGACATCAGTCTACCTGCACTACTTTCGCGCAAGAATACCATTAGAGCGTGTGAATTCCAAATTCAGCAAAAATTGACCGCGTAGACGCCAGCGACCGCGGAGGCCCACTGAGAGTAGTTTCTCCCCACCATAAGTAGCACAAGGGGACCGAGGTGACAATGAATGATGTGAGGAAGTACCTGTCGCATTTCTTCTCCATCCGTATGTGCGATTAATTATATTATCGCGGTAGAGATTGTAATTGTCCGTCATAATAGAATAGAAATTCGCGAACTCCTACGAAGCAAGTGGCCTCGCTAAAATTATCTAATAGTGACGTTAAATTGTTTAATAAATTCATAAAATTTCTACATTCCCACGAAGCAAGTGGCATGAAGAAGTTATGAATGAATTAAATACATTTATTAAACATTAGTAGATAGATTTCAAAGCAACACGAAGCAAGTGGTCTTTCGAATTTCTACCTTGTTTAAACAACTTTACTACAGTTAATAAATTTTTTTTCAAATTGATTGCCCTCAAAATTTTTTTTTGAGGTAGAATTAAAGTTAAACTAAAATTTTATAAAAGTAAAAATAAAGAAAAATCAAGGACAAGGAAAACTCAGCAAATCTCATCAAAAATCGGTAATGTAAAGGGTATCGTTCCACAACACAAAACACACACAATATAAATTTTAATTTAAAAAGATTTTTTTTTACAAAAAAAAAAAATAATAAAATTAAAAACAATTTAATGTAACATTACAAGGGGGAAAACAAAAATATTCAATAAAATTTTATACTTTTATGCAAATGACTTTAACAATTTATTCAACAAACAAAACATTCCAAAACCAATAAAAGAAATATTATAATACAAATAAGAACGGAAACGGCCTGAATTAATAGGCCAGAAGCTGGACTCATTTTACCACTCTGAAACGAGAATAATCTATATTTAAATCTAATGATTTTAAATATTTTGGAGATATTAAAGAAAAATAGTAATTCAGCTATTCTTTTTTTTATAACTTAAAATAAATAACTAAAATTGTTACACAATGAAAGTATCAAAATCATCGGAGATTTGACAATTATTTAAAATGGGAAAATTAAAAAATTTTATGTTCTTCATTTTAGATTCTGTATTTTTGCCGCATTATAAGAACTGCTATTACCAACGATTTTAAATTCTCTATCAGTGATAGTGAAAAAAATTTAGGAAAATTCCCTTATGACTTTTTACAGTGAGATGAAAATCGTTTAAAAGTGAATTTATTATGCTTTTGCAAGATAAAAGAGATGTTTCCATTAACGAAAACACTAAAATTTTTGTCCTATAATATTTTCTTAATTCACACTCGTATACAATACAAAACGATTATTATTTCGTTGTAAAAATTAATTTGACAAACAGACAAGTTGGCGAGAAAAATTATTATAAGTTCAATTGTTTTTTTCAGGGGCGAAGGAAAAAAAAAGTTTCAGAAAAGATTTTATGTTTGCTTAGATTTCTCAAAAAAATTCAAAATTTCACGTGGGTGGAGGTTTCAACCCCAAAACCCCACTATGTTTCTTGGGGGTGGGCATGTAAATGTGATTCTGGATCCGCGACAGAAACTGTAATACAATAATAAACTTCTTTTCGCTATTTTCATTTTAAAAAATGTACTTTTAATGGCAAAAATATTTAATGGGACCGTTCTTAAAAACGGCTCCACAGATTATATTGATTTTTGTGAGAAAAGTTTCTATTTTTCATATACTTTCACTGAAAAAAAAAAATTTTTACTAAGCAAAGACTTTTGGGTTTGAGTCTGGTTAAGGCACATCGTGCTTGATGAAAGACTTTGAAAAAATCATGAAGCTCTTTTTCGGAGAGTATAAAACGGTAAAAAAAACTTGAGCCAAATCGAAAATGTCAATGTTGACGATATGTTGGTTTGGCATAGAACGCCCCATATACACAATGACTTAAAAATCAAGGTCAAAATTTCAAAGGCCACTCTGAGCCTCTACTATTGAAGTCTATGATCTTAAGGAAGCCATTAAATTTGAAAAAAAAATTTCTTCATTTTTATTATTAATTAATATGAAAATGAGATATTTGAAAGATCTAAATGTTCAGGATTCTAGATTTACAAAAATTTCTATAAATAGTTAAAAATTAAATAGTTAATTTCTTTTAATTTTTATAAAAATGTTGAGATAAGTGAAATCCTCAGAACAAATTTTTTTATTCGTCACTTGGGGGATTTCGAGTTCGCTGATATATTTTTTAATTATTGTGGAAAAGGAAGGAGAATTTTACCTTGAAAGGTGATCCGTGCGGCACCAAATGTCAATGCCAAATATGTCATGTGCCGAGCGGCACAATGAACAAATTCTATTAGAATATATTTATATATTTTTAACAATTCAAGAAGGCCCAATTGATAAGTGTGCCGAGCGGCATCAAATATCAAAACCAGAAATACAATGTGCCGGGCGGCACTAAAGCAATTCTCGCTGAGTCTAATTAAACTTGTCAAACTTTTCAAGGATATTATTAACAATTAAAGAGTATCAGACAATTAAGCCTAACAAAACTAAATATCGTATCGTAGTTCATTAGTTTAAATATAGAGGTTATGTTTTCAGGTTTTAACAAATGTTATATTGAAATACAAGCGAATGTTAAGTTATTTTTATAGTTACCTCTTCTGCCTTCTTCTTCTTCTTTAGACTTCTTTAGTTTTACTATGTCTTTAATATAAATTTCGACCATTTATATACTGCTGACAGCAGGTAGATAACACAGTAAAATAATAAAAAGAACGCTATCAAGTTAAAATATTAATTTTTTGTGTTCATTTCATGTACACTTTTCTTCTGCATGCAGATATGGAGTATATAAAATAGATGCAGTATATTAAAATTTAATAACTAAGCTACATTAAAAGTCACGTTTTTAGATATTTTTTATTTCAACGATTTATATACTGGTGACTCACAAGTAGACAATATTGCAATATTTCATCTTGTTTCATCATTTGAAATTAAAATTTTATTATTTTTTATCAACGTACAAACAGTGAAAAGTCACGTTTTTAGATATTTTTATTTCGACAATTTATATACTCCTGACAATACTGTAAAAATGTATGCCTGGACCCTTCCCTGGACCATGCGTGACAGTTCTAAATATTTTGTGACAGTCCCTGCACAGATCAACTATAAGTAATGACTAATTTAGCAATATTCATCTTCTTTTATTATACTGCATTAATTAGAAACCTGACAAAAATCGCTCAAAGTTTTATTGAGATATTTCATCAGTGTCTTATTAATCTTCATTAAACTAGTTTTAAAAACATTACTTATAAATTTTTTATATTTAGTACACCTATTATATATATATATGAGGCATTCTTTATCAACAGAAGCCCCCCTCTCTCCAAAATTGTTTTAGATATAAAAAATCGGACAAGGGCTTAAAATTTTAATAAAAACAAATACTTTTAAATGCTGAGTGGCTTTTTTCAAAATTCAAAATGACAGATCCAATATGGCGGCTTATTAAAAAAAAATTTCATTGGTTTCACTTGAAAATTGTTACTCGAGGATTTTTGGGGTCGGGGATTACGATTCTAATGTCACGTCACCGTAACGTTGTTAAACATTGTTGCTGCATTTTTGTAACAAAGGCCCTTACTTGTTTAACTTTTCTGTATAAAATCAATACTTTAGTCGCGACAGTAGTCTGACTGACTAAGTATTTCAATATTATTTAATGAATCGGAAAATCAGATATGATAACGTAGATTTTCCATTAAATGTTTTATACCCCTTTAAGCAGCCCTACAAGTGTACAGGAAATGGGCAATAAACTCATAAAGCCGACCATCTGTAAGTTTCGATAATTAAATTGTACAATTCCACTTATATTAACATCGGTTTCTCTTAGAATTCCAAAAATATAAAATTTGTTGGATTATTTTAATATCCTGTTTTATTGAGAGAAAATACCTTGTGTTATCACAAACTTATTGAATGTAAAAGGGAGTCACCTTAATTCATAACATTTAGTTAACTTCTTACTTATTAAAAAGGGTGGAAACTGCAACCCTCATATGAAAATTTGTGCGCGCTCTTTGTAAAAATCTTGTATAAAAAGGTCCACATTTGCCTGGAGAGTTCAGTTCATATTTTGGTATCAGCACGTCTTCGTCTTATACGAAATCTAGTACAAGCATTGTTACTCTGATCGATTTCATACTCAAGTTCGACTTATAAGAATTTCAAGTCAATTATTTAAAAGTCTCTACATCAAGGAGGAGCCTTCCAAGTATACGACTAGTATCCTGCCATAATAATTGGAAACATCTTCTCATTTCCATACAAAGGATATTTGGGCTTTCATTACAGTGCATTGAACTCTGGACCTGTGGGAACCACCTAGGCCCGTCAACCCTCCTGAGCACTCATAAACGACATCTGGTACCAGCCGTTTTCCTGCCCATATTTAAGAACACATCAGTGGTCCTTTTTCATACATCTTACATTGAAATTTTTAAGGTAAGTAGTAATACTTTTTATATAAAACTTTCCTAACTCCTTATAAAATTTGTAGTAACCTTTACATTCCTTGTTGCAGTGGAATGCTAACTTCCCTATTTCAAGAATGGTTGCTTAACATACTCTCTTTCAAAGATCAATTTTATAACACTAAATATTTATCTAAATAAACTTGTAACCTTGTCATTAAAAATTAATATTCTCTTTCTTCTCTCTACCCTTAGCTCAGAGCCTTCTGCTCTGTAAATGAAACAGAAATTCACTGAATCACCGAGCGGCCATAAATAAAATATGATTTCGTTAGTTATTTCTCTATTTGAGACGTAACACTACCGTCAGTTTTTCAAAATTCAAAATGGCGGATACAATATGACGGACTTTGTTTTAAAACTTCATTGGATTTACTTGAAAATGTATACTCGGGGGTTTTTGAGGTCGCTGATTACGAATACGATGTCGATTATTCAAAATTCAAAATGGCGAATACAATATGTCGGCTAATTTAAAAATTATTTGTTGGATTCACTTTAAAATTATTACTCGGGGGTTTTCGGAGTCGCTGATCATAAATCTGGTGTTAGTTTTCAAAACTTTTAAATGGTGGATATAATATGAAAGGTGGTTTTTATTAAATTACTCTCATTCATCTAAAAAATGTTACTTGTGTCGTTGAACTTGAACCTATTACTTCTAGTTATCTAAAGCTAGCAGGAGTATTCAACAGCATTTCATAGATGCACCTATACACAAAGAAAAATTATCTTTCCATACTGACAGTTTTGGAATTGTTTTGACTAAAATTTGTGCATTAAGGATATGACACACTCAAGCAACGTTTGTGTAAGCACCGCCATGTTTGTTTTCATTTTCGTTTCAAACTGTCACTTTTTAAACTTCATTTTTTAACAATTTAACGCAATATTATGTATTTTTCGGGGAACAGCGAGATTCCTTGTACCCACATCTATCACCCTTTAAAATTTTAGACAAAAATCTTTTTTCATTTTAGAGTAAGATGTATACTACACAAAACACATTTTCCCATACTAGGTCACGTGGAAGGTTCACACATACCCTTAAGAAGGGTTCCGTGAAATAAGACTAAAATCGATATACATATTTCAGGAGTAAATTTTACTATTTCTGGAGTCAAAATTGCTAGAAATGCGAAGAAGAAGTTTAACTTTTAAAGTAGGGTGAAACCAGGCCTAAAATATCAATGTTGTCCCCTACTTTATCGATTTTAATAAAACTTAGTAAAAAGGTAAAGAAATGCATGTAAATAAAATTTCTAAAAGTAATTTTTGAAAATATTAAAAATTTTTGGATTTACGGAATTAAAATTTTTTTTTTAAATTATGAAATCGTTATATCTTCAAGAGCAATGGATGAATTTACGCACGTGTATCATACAACATTTTTTGCAACACCCACCTCTAAAGTTAAGTACCTATTATGAAGAATTCCAACTCTATATTAGAATAATTTTTATTGTATAGAATTAAAAAAAACAATCGAAGATCAGGAAAAATATCATTAAGCAGTAGTGTATAAACACAGAAAAAACCTAATCTCAAATTGAGTACAAAATTTATACTCAATTTGATACGCATAAAAAATGAGACAGGCAGATGGCGCCACGTTCTATGTCATTTAACATACACTCATTTTGAAATGCAACAAATATGAGTCCAAATTTTTTTGTAAATTTAAAAGTAAAGTTCTTTCTTTAAGTTTGTGGTTTTGTATGGTCTAAAACAATCCTTACATTATGTGATATAAATTTCGGTGCGTAAAGTAAATTTCAGTGCGTAAAGTGAATCACTTTACACACCGTTTTAAAAAGAGCTTTTTTACACACACTTTACGGTGTGTAAAATTTAACTTTAGAGGTTAGTGTTGTAAAAAAAAAATTTTTTATTGTTTAAACAAATTTTTTGTTTATAACTGTATTTTTTATTTTTTTCACTGTTGATATTTGGATTCCTTAAGATTTCATGAGTATTTTAAGACCAAGAAATTAATGGTATGTCTTAAACTTTCGGAGATATTGAATTTTTTGTCATTGCGTGCAAGACCAAAAAGCGAGTGGAAGCAATGACATAAGATGTTTCAATGTCGCTAGGAAGCATCATTCTTAACAGATTTTTGATTTTTTTTTAATTAAAGATGTTTTTAGGGTTATATAAAACGTAAAATTGACGCTAATTATTTAAACAGTATTGTTATAAATAAACAAATTTAATTAATTAAATGACATTAATGCCAAAAGATTAAACAGCCTTTCTACCGTTAAACTAAATATTGGATTCATAGCATAACCGGAAAAATACACGTATTTTTTCTTTTTGCAAAATAATTTTTATAAACAATTTAATAAAAAAAAATCGATTTTTAATAAACCAATACAGCCATTCGAAAGAACGTAGAAAAATAAGCAACTTTTCTCTTTATTCTTAACTGATTTTTAATTTTTTTTGCAAAAAGGTGTGGACGAATAAAAAAGTTGAAAAGAGAAAAGTTGCTTATTTTTCCTCGTTATATCAAATGGCATTATTCGTTTTTATAAATAGAATTTTTTTCTTAAATTGAGCTACTGGATCAAAGATTGTTTTTTTGAGAAAATCGACCAGTCTGTCAATTGAGAAAAATCTTTAAAAAATCGGACATGCAATTGCAGATGGACTTCGAATTTGGCGTGGAATGCATCATATACTGAATTACGAAAGTTATGAAATATAGTTTATTTCCTAATTTCTCTTAGGGATTTGAGAAGTGACATGTTTTTTTCAATTTCCATATTCCAACGTGATAATTTGATTTTAATAATATTGTAAAATGTTGATATTAAAAAAAAATAAATTTTACTGCTTTAAAACTTTGTTTTCAAAAACACATAATTTTGAAATTTAGAACTAGAAACATAAATAAGAAGTATAAAAAACCAACAATATTAAGAAAAATAAAATAATATTTTTAATGTAAAATGCACGCGATTGAGATATTTATTTTCCAATTCGCGTGCTTTATATAATTCTTATATTATATAAAATTTATCGCTATGTTAGTTGTAATCTTTCTTTTAATTTTGAATATAAGTGTATCATGATGAGGAAGCTAAATGGTCATGATTTAAACACCTTGTTTCCAAAGTTTTTTAATTTACAGTTTTATTAAAAAGTTGTTTTTAATAATTAATAAAATTATAAATTAATTGAATTCATTAAATTTTCAAAGATTTATTTGTACAATTTTAAAAGCAAATTATTTTAAGAGAAAATTTAATGTCAAATAATAATTAACGTTT